ATATATCACACTGAATATATTACAATCGGTTCTGCTTATTCTCAATAAGTATTGACTGTGCTTCTATTAAAACAAGGAGGATTTTAGTTATGTCATTAGTTGATTGGTTTGAAGAAAAACGTAGGCTTAAACTACTTACTACGCCAAAGCCAAAATATCCAGAATCTGATCCTAGCGAAGGATTATGGACACAATGTGATAATTGTGAAAGCATGCTATATGTACGATTTTTAAAACAAAATCAACGTATTTGTGAAGAATGTGGCTATCATTTAGAGATGAATAGTACAGAAAGAATTGAACTCCTGATTGATCCTGGTACTTGGGAACCTATGGACGAAGATATGCTTCCTTGTGATGTATTAGATTTTTTCGATCAACAATCATATAGAGATCGGATTGAAGAAAATCAAATACGTACAGGATTGACAGATGCTGTTCAAACTGGTGTAGGAGAACTGAATGGTACTCCTATTGCATTAGGAGTGATGGATTTCCAATTTATGGGAGGCAGTATGGGATCAGTAGTTGGCGAAAAACTTACCCGATTAATTGAACATGCTACGCAACATAAATTACCACTTGTTATTGTATGTGCTTCTGGAGGAGCACGTATGCAAGAAGGTACACTAAGTTTAATGCAAATGGCAAAAATTGCTTCTGTTTTACAAATTCATCAAATTCAACATAAGTTACTTTATATATCTATTCTTACTTATCCAACTACAGGAGGTGTTACTGCTAGTTTTGGTATGTTAGGTGATATCATTATTGCTGAACCGAAAGCATATATTGCTTTTGCTGGCAAACGTGTTATTGAACAAACTTTACGACAGGAAGTACCTGACGGGTTTCAAGTAGCTGAATCATTATTAGATCATGGATTATTAGATTTAATTGTTCCTAGAGCCATTTTGAAAGGTGTGTTAGGAGAATTGTTTGAACTTTATAAATCTGCTCCTTGTAAAAATACAAAAGAAATCCCAATAACATGTTGATAGTATGTTAATGATATATTTTTTGTATAGTAATACAGAATAGATTGTGTATTACATAAACTTGTTATATAATCGTCTGTTAGACGTTATCAGTGCAGAAAGCGTTTATTTTATAGAACGATTGTTTTTCTATTCTCAATTCGATTCGATATAGATGGTATCTCTTATCAAAAGTCATATAAATACTAGTATGACTTGAGAACTTATTTTTTAACAATAGTTATGAGATACAGAGAAGACTCTTAGGTCCACTAATTTATTTAGTAAATTAGACATAGATTCATATCTTAGATATTCAAGAATTTACTTTGTGATAAATTATCTCACAAGGTATATATTACATGAGGGAACACATCCATGACCGCTTCCTATCTACCTTCTATTTTGGTTCCTTTGGTAGGTTTAGTATTTCCAGCTGTAGCTTTTGCTTCTTTCTTCTTGTACATTGAACAAGACGAAATCGTCTAAGGAACTCTAATTCAGGAACCCTTGTTTACTAAAAATAAAGTGTTAGTTTTGAGATCTCCTCTCCTGGATTGGAAGGAATGAGGAGATCTTTGGTGTATGAATGTATGGAATTCAATTAACTAATTGATTTTTTTCTACAAAAATCATCTATTGATATTTTTTTGTACTAGAAAGATACTTTGCATACTTTTTCCTATTCTATAAAAAAAAGAAGATAGTTTTTTCTTTTTAATAATTGTCGCAAGTCAGTTGATATTTTTTTTTATCGAATTATGTGTGACTGTATATTCTCACCGTATTTTTTGTAAAATACTATTAACTGACAATGGGACAAAGTGCCTTGCTGTGCGAAAGGTATCTTGGTTATACTTACTTAGCATGTTTTGCAAATACTCTTAGTATAATACCACCTGATAAGACAAAATAGAAAAGAGCCTAAACAGCTCACATTCTTTATTAACTTTATACTTTGTCTTATCTTTACACACGGAGCTAACCATGTCTGGGAATACGGGAGAGCGCCCCTTTGCAGATATTATTACCAGTATTCGTTACTGGGTTATCCATAGCATTACAATCCCTTCGCTATTTATAGCGGGTTGGTTGTTCGTTAGCACAGGTCTTGCTTATGACGTATTCGGAAGTCCTCGTCCTAACGAATACTTTACAGAGAGTCGTCAAGAAGTTCCTTTAATTACTGGACGTTTCAACTCTCTAGAGCAACTAGACGAATTTACCAGATCGCTATAGGAGATATTAAATGACTATCGATAGAACTTATCCCATCTTTACGGTTAGATGGCTGGCTGTTCATGGGCTAGCTGTGCCTACAGTTTTTTTCTTGGGCTCTATCTCAGCAATGCAGTTCATTCAAAGGTAAGCTCTTTATAAAGCGCACAATTATGACACAACCAAACCCGAACAAGCAAAACGTCGAGTTAAACCGTACTAGTTTATTTTGGGGACTGCTACTAATTTTTGTACTTGCAGTACTCTTTTCTAGCTACTTCTTTAACTAGTAATAATAGTTGGTTATTGCCTCATTTGGAAAATTCGTATTTAGTTACTTTGTTGCTTGTGGCTGTAATGATCTTTAGCCAAGACCTCCAATGCAGATGTGAAGGGAGTAGAACAGATGTCTAACGTTGGAACTACAGGAAGAATTCCGTTGTGGTTTATAGGGACAGTAGCAGGCATTGCTGTCACCACTCTAGTGGGCCTTTTCTTTTACGGCTCTTATGTTGGTTTAGGTTCTTCCCTATAATTAAGAGTAGAATCCTAACCAGGGAATTGAGTAACGAGCTTAAATGAAATGTATTGATCTTGTGTCTACTCAATAAAAGGGACTTCTTCAAGAAATTCCCCAAAGGGAAAATCTTTCCTTTGGGGAATTTCTTTTGATATTTGCATTTCAAAGCAAACAGTATAGTCAATAAATTTATTGGTGCATTAATTCCATCAATAATCTACTAATATCTTTCTCCGATTGAGACATTTGCATAAATAGACGTGATATATGAAACATTTTTTCATTAGATGTTAATTTAGACACTAATGGATACCATCTAGTTGATTTCCAAATTTTACGATGTCGTAAAATTTTTAAAAGTAGAAAAAAATCATCATGATCTAGAAAGTTTCTAGGCATTGAGGAGAAAGTTTTTTGAATATTATGATGCATATTTTTTCTTTCTAGATTCTCTTCTATTTTTTTTGAAATTTCCCAAAGGTTGTTGTCTATTTCTTCTAAAGATTTCAATATATTTTTTTTTTCTTTTTCGTATTTATTTAGAAAAAAATGTGTTCCATGAATTGATTTCAAGCTTCTAGTGGTTTCATTACAAGAATCGAAGATATCACTTTGATACTGAGAGATTTTTTGATCTTTTTGTCTTTTTTCTACTTTTATGGTATTTAGCAAACCATAATACTGATCATGCATAGAGAAATTCTGATTCAAATGTCTATGCTGTTTTGCTAGATAGAAATGAACATGAGCTGCATGATCAAAATATTCTTTTACCTGTTGTGACATAAGATTACAGGTAGATGCTACTTGAGCATCTCCCCAGTATTCTGCTGTTTGTGCCAAAACAGGAATGAAATAACAGTGTTCAAAACTCTCAATATTTAAGCACTCCATCATTACACGTTGTAAATGGAGAGGCTTTAGATCTAAGCTCATTGATTAGGACTCATACGATCTATAGAAAAGATAATCGAGCGCTTCCTGTGGTTTTCCACATCAATACTTTATTTACTTAGAAATTCATCTCAGCAAGTTGTACTTTTTCAAATTGTTTTTTCTTCAGAACTAGGAAAATCTGTGCCAAAATTACAGATGCAAAGAATACAAGAAGTCCTTGAATTCTTAATGGATCTTGCAGTACTATGGAGGTTTCTGCTTGTCCAAAACCACCTACGTTTGGATTATTAGTCAATGGTTGATCAACTTTAACGGATTCTCCTTCGGAAACAATTAATTCTGGTCCTGGAGGAATAACGTCAATTACTTCTTTACCGTCTGCTGTAATAATGGTTATATCGTAACCACCTTTTTTGATATTAGTACGAACAACTTTCTTAATTGTTCCTGAAGCAGAAGCACTAAAAACTGTATTATTACTCTTGCTACCATCAGGATAAAGTTGTCCACGTCCTCTATTCCCACCTAAATAGATTGGATATTTTAAGAAAGACGCTTCTTTGTTAGTAGCTGGATCGGGAGATAATATAGGAAATACCATTTCACTATATTTATTTCCAGGTACAGGACCTACTACCAAAATATTTTTCTGCTCGGGTCTGTAAGTTTGGAAGTAAAGATTATTAATCTTTTCTTTCATTTCTGGAGGAATACGATCTTCAGGTGCTAATTCAAAGCCTTCCGGTAAGATTACCACAGCGCCTACATTGATATTCCCTTTTTTACCATTGGCTAATACCTGTTTAATTTGGGTATCATACGGAATCTTAACTACTGCTTCAAAAACAGTATTGGGAAGAACTGCTTGTGGCACTTCGATATCCACCGGTTTTTTTGCCAAATGGCAATTAGCACATACAATGCGTCCAGTCGCTTCTCGAGGACTTTCATAGTTTTGCTGTGCAAATATCGGAAATGCTTCCGAATTTAATGGCAAAGCCATTGGCAAAGCCATAACTATGATTGAGATTGATAGCCCCACCCATCTTCGTATCCATTTACAAGCATCTCTTTTTTGCATGGTCTGATTTTTCTTCAAAAATTTATAGGTAGAAGCAGCTAGTTTCCTTGCTGCTATCCATAACTCTGATACTATAGTAACTGTAAATTGGAAAAAACCAAAGTGTTTTTTCGAATTCTTTTATACAAATAAACACATAGACATCAATGATGTCTATATTTTCATAGGGATTTGATTTTGCAATCCTTTTTATTATAAGAAGTTCTTTCGAACATTGTATAGAGATACCATCGATAAAAAGAGTTGTAATAAAAAATCAGGTTGACATATGACACTCTCTGTGTAATAATATATACTAACAAGCTTATAAGCAGCTTGAGTCATATTTTATTACTTTATTAACCAATAATTACCATGACTGCTACTTTAGAAAGACGCGAAAGCGCAAGCCTATGGGGTCGTTTCTCTGACTTTATTACCAGCACCGAAAACCGTCTTTACATCGGATGGTTCGGCGTATTGATGGTACCTCTTCTTCTAACTGCAACTTCTGTATTCATCATTGGTTTCATCGCAGCTCCTCCAGTAGATATCGATGGTATCCGTGAGCCTGTTTCTGGTTCTCTTCTATACGGAAACAACATCATTTCTGGTGCTATCGTTCCTACTTCTGCAGCAATCGGTATGCACTTCTACCCTATCTGGGAAGCTGCTTCCGTTGATGAATGGTTATACAATGGTGGTCCTTACCAACTAATCGTTCTTCACTTCCTTTTAGGTGTAGCTTCTTACATGGGTCGTGAATGGGAACTTAGCTTCCGTCTAGGTATGCGTCCTTGGATCGCTGTTGCATACTCTGCTCCTGTTGCAGCTGCTACCGCAGTATTCCTAATCTACCCAATCGGACAAGGAAGTTTCTCTGACGGTATGCCTTTAGGTATCTCTGGTACTTTCAACTTCATGATCGTATTCCAAGCTGAGCACAACATCCTTATGCACCCATTCCATATGCTAGGTGTGGCTGGTGTTTTCGGCGGCTCTCTATTCAGTGCAATGCATGGTTCCTTGGTTACCTCCAGCTTGATCCGTGAAACCACCGAAAACGAATCTGCTAACGCTGGTTACAAGTTTGGTCAAGAAGTAGAAACTTACAACATTGTTGCAGCTCACGGCTACTTTGGACGTCTAATCTTCCAATATGCTAGTTTCAACAACTCTCGTTCTCTACACTTCTTCTTGGCTGCTTGGCCTGTAGTAGGTATTTGGTTTACTGCTTTAGGTATCAGTACTATGGCATTCAACCTAAACGGTTTCAACTTCAACCAATCCGTAGTTGATAGCCAAGGTCGTGTAATCAACACTTGGGCTGATATCATCAACCGTGCTAACCTAGGTATGGAAGTTATGCACGAGCGTAACGCTCACAACTTCCCTCTAGACTTAGCATCTGTTGAAGCTCCTTTCGTTGGCTAAACAATCTTGTTTTAGAGGCAAGCTGCATATATAACAACTGTGCGCAGGAATCCTGCGCACGGTTGTAGTTTGCTATATTTTCTCTTTTTTGTATGTTGTATGGCGAACAAATTGATCAGAATGTCCTTTATGTTTGATATAAAATAAAAATATATAAAATATAGCAAAGTTTCCATTATTTGCTTCACTTCGCATTTTTTATTACTTGCCTAGTAAATATACAGGTTAAATTCCTAACTTTCACTTATTTATGTATTGGTCCATTAAGCACCTTAAATGTGTGTCATAATATATTTAGGAGTCTGTCCTGGGTCACTTCTGTATCATAGTTGTTCTAGTTACAGACTTAATAAAGTGGGTAGCAATTCTAAAATATTACCCTCTCAGAAGCTGATTCATGATTTTGGGCAGGTGTTTCCTTTGTCTCGTCTGAAGAGAGGAGAATCTCAATGACTATTCGTTCACCGGAACCAGAAGTCAAGATTGTGGTAGACAATGATCCTGTAAAAACCTCTTTTGAAAAATGGGCTAAGCCAGGTCATTTCTCTCGTGCGTTAGCAAAAGGTCCTACTACAACCACTTGGATTTGGAACCTGCATGCTGATGTTCACGATTTTGATAGCCACACTAGTGATCTAGAAGAAATTTCTCGTAAGGTTTTTAGTGCACACTTTGGTCAATTAGCTGTCATATTCATTTGGTTAAGCGGAATGTATTTTCATGGTGCACGCTTTTCCAATTATGAAGCATGGTTAAGTGATCCAACCCACATCAAACCTAGTGCTCAAGTTGTTTGGCCAATTGTAGGTCAAGAAATTTTGAACGGCGACGTAGGTGGTGGATTCCAGGGAGTTCAAATTACCTCTGGTTTATTCCAAATGTGGCGTTCTTCTGGAATCACTACTGAACTAGAGTTATATTCCACTGCAATTGGTGGTTTATTAATGGCAGGCTTAATGTTTATCGCTGGTTGGTTCCATTATCATAAAGCTGCACCTAAATTGGCTTGGTTCCAAGATGCAGAATCTATGATGAACCACCATTTAGGCGGTCTAATAGGCTTAGGATCTTTGGGTTGGGCTGGACACCAAATTCATGTATCTTTGCCTATCAACCAATTGTTAGATGCAGGAGTTGACCCTAAAGAAATTCCTTTGCCTCACGAATTTATATTTAACAGAGACTTATTAGCTCAGTTATATCCTAGCTTTGCGAAAGGTGTAACTCCTTTCTTTACCTTAAACTGGGCAGAGTATTCTGATTTCTTAACTTTCCGTGGCGGTCTAAATCCAGTTACAGGAGGTTTATGGTTAACTGATACAGTTCACCACCACGTAGCAATTGCAGTCCTTTTCCTAGTAGCAGGACATATGTATAGAACTAACTGGGGAATTGGTCATAGCATGAAAGAAATGTTAGAAGCTCACAAAGGGCCTATGACTGGTGAAGGTCACAAAGGACTTTATGAAATTTTGACCACTTCTTGGCATGCTCAATTAGCATTAAACTTAGCTACTTTTGGATCTTTAACAATTATCATAGCACATCATATGTATGCTATGCCTCCTTACCCATATTTAGCAACTGATTATGGGTACTCAGTTATCCTTATTCACACACCACATGTGGATTGGTGGATTCTGCGTTGTAGGGGCTGGTGCTCATGCAGCTATCTATTTGGTAAGAGATTACGATCCAACTACTCAGTATAACAATCTATTAGATCGTGTTCTACGTCATAGAGATGCAATTATTTCTCATCTTAACTGGGTATGTATCTTCCTAGGATTCCATAGTTTTGGTTTGTATATTCATAACGATACTATGAGTGCCTTAGGTCGTCCTCAAGATATGTTCTCTGACACAGCTATTCAACTTCAGCCTGTGTTTGCTCAATGGGTTCAAAATACTAA